TCTGTCCTCTGTGTGAAATTTGTGTGTCTCCGAGGCTCTGCCTTTCACTGTTCCCCTGAGCTTCCGCCTTACAGCCCAGATTCCCTCTGTATGTGTCTGGGTCCCCAGGGTCTCGCTCAGAACTGGGGTTCAGCACAGTCAGGAGCTTTTATCTCCTTCTGCTAGGGAATGCCAGCCAGGCACTCAGCCGCCCCTCCTCTCTGGCTCTGTCCTCTCCGCGCACGCAACGTGTCTCCTTACCTTAGGCTTTTACAGCTCCACTTATTTTCCTTCTGGTTTTCTATTTCCTTCTCATTGTAGAATTTCCAGTCAGTCAACTTTCCTGTAGTTCTGGATAATGTCCACTTTATATTTTAGTTGTATTTCTTAAATTTGTTCTGTGAGGCTGCAATTAGGCGGTTACCTATGCTGCCATCTTGGTTTCTCTTGTCATCAGCTTGTTCTCTCTTATCTGTGCATCTGTTTCTCTCTCATTTCATTTATTAATTTGTTTTGATTTTTAGATTCCACATATAAGTGAAATCATATGATATCTGTCTCTCTCTGTCCAATATTTTCACTTAACACAGTACTCTGTGTCCATCCATGTTGTTGAAAATAGCAAGATTTCACTCTTCTTTATGGCTGAGCAGTATTCCATTTTGTATATGCACCACTTCTTTGTCCATTAATCTATCAATAGACATCTAGTGTGCTTCCAGATCTTGGCTGTTGTAAACAATGCTGAATTCACATAGGAATGCATACTAGTATATCGTTTGTAATTATTGTTTTCATATTCTTTAGGTAAGTACTCAGAAGTGGAATTGCTGGGTTGTGCATAGTATTCCATTTCTAAATTTTGTGGAGCTTCAGTGTTTTCCATGAAGGCTATACTAATTTACAATCCCATCAACAGTGCACAAGGTTGCCTTTTCCTCCGCCATTAATTCTTTAAACAGGTTTTTTTGTCCACTTTCTCTCACTGTTCTCCTTCTCGCACACCCGTGACTTGAATGTTGTTATGTTTAATGTTGTCCCAGATATCACATAAACTATCCTCATTTAAAAAGTGTTTTTTGTTTGTTTGTTTGTGTGTGTGTGTGTGTGTGTGTGTGTGTGTTTTCTGTTATGAATGGATCTCTCCCTACTACAGCTTAATGCATTGAAGGTGAGGTTGCCATGTTGCCATGTCTCGACCTCTCCTCCCTATTTCTCTTATTTGTTGTGCAAGAAGCTACCTTGTCTTCAGCTCACTGACTCATTCTTCTGTATCAACTAATGTGTTATGATTCCTTGTACTGTTTTTTGTTTTTTTGTTTTTCATTTTAGTTATTGTATTTTACAGTTCTAAGTAGTTCTGTTTTATATATTTTTTATGTCTTTGTTGAAGTCCTCACTGAGTTAGTCTATTCTTCTACCGAGTTTGTTGACTACCAGTGTTTGAACTCTTTATTTGGGAGATTGCTTGTCTTGTTTCATTTAGTTTTTTGGGGAGATTTTGTTCTTGTTTTTCATTTGGGACATATTTTTGCCTCCTCATTTTGGCTCTCTCTATATTTGCTTCCATCAATTAGGCAAAGCAACAATCTCTCTGTGTCTTGGAGTGGCCATGTGCAGGAGCTCCTCCTTTGTAAGCTGTGTGTGCTGGGTTTCTTCGTCAGGCCTACTGGAGCTGGAGCTAAAGTCATCCAGAGCATGTGGAATCCTGGCGACAAGCCTCTCTGGGGCTTCTTTGGCAGTGTGCTTGAGGTTGTAGTTGAAGTAGGCTCTAGCCACTGGGATTTCCTGGGCCAAGCTGTGCTGAGGCCTAGCACTGTAAGCCAAGTGAATGTGGGCTGCAGGAAGTCCTGGGGACAGGCTGGACCTGGGCTTCCTTTACAGATTGGCTGAAGCTGTGACTGGAGTGGGCACAGGCTGCAGGAACTAGCCACTTGGGGACTATCTTTGCAGACTGGTTGAATGTAGTAGGAGCTACCTCAGGCCTCAGGTATTCCTGGGGAAAGCTGCACTTGGTTTGAGTACTGTACCTAGGGCATATCTGAGCCACATTCAAGCTTTTCTGGGGTGGCTTTGGCAGGCCACTTGACACTGTAGATGAAGCAGATGGGGTCTGTTGGAGGTACAGGAGAAAATATATGCCTGAACTTCTTAGCCGGCCTGTTGAAGTTGGAGTTGAATTGGATTCAGGCCAAGGGTGGCACCTGCTGCAAGCTGTGCTGGGGCCTGGAGTTGAAGCTGGAGTGGGTGTGAGCCATGGGGTATCCTGGAACAAGCTACACTGGGACCACCATGGCAGGCTGCCTAGAAACTGTAGCTGGAGCAGGCTGCAGGGATATCCTGGGGTAAACCATGTAGGAGCAAGGAGCTGTAGCTGTAGTGGTGATGGGCTGTGCAGATTTTCATGGACAAGTTACAGAGCTAGTGTAGGTCTGGGGCTTGGGGCACACTCTGACATCCTTGTCTCATGGTTAGAGTGTCTGTCTCATTCTCCTGCCCATGTGATCAACAGGAAGGGAGAGGGCTGCAAGTGGCACTATCCAGTGTCTCCAACCATGAAGAGATTTCCCACAATTTCCATCCCATCTGGTAGATGCTTCTAGTGTTAGTAAATGTTTCCTTCCTGTGTAGGTGCCCTGTAACCCACTGTGTGTTGTTTACTGTGCCCCAGGACAGGTGAGTCGGTGTGCAGGCCCTTCAAGTGATCTCTCCCTATTACAGCTTGATGCATTGAAGGTGAGGTTCCCATGATGCCATGACTCCATCTCCACCCCCTCTTCCCTGTTTCTCTTATTTGTTGTGCAGAAGCTGCTGAGTCTCTCCTAGTTTTTTTTTTTTTTTTTTTTTTTTTTTTTTTTTTTTTTTTTTTTTTTTCCAGTGGAATTTCTCTCCGTGTAGGTATACAGTTGAGGTTTTCATGGGAAGAAGTGAGTTCAGAGTCTTCCTAAGCTGTCATCTTGGACCAGAAGCCTTCAGATCCTGCTCTTCATTATTTAAGTTTGTTAATTATCTATGTATATTTACTAAGTGTAACAATATTCCTGTGATAAAGATTAGGAGTAGTTGCAATAAAGAAGACAAGGTCTTTCAATGGGCTGACTATAAAAACTCTGAGAAAAACAATTGCTCCAATCCTGAACTTAACGTTTCACTGGTTCAACAGTGTATAACAAATTACCAACAAATCAGAAATGCTTTAAATGTCAATGTTAAAACAGAACACCAGTTACTAATCCAGTCTGTTAATTTATTACTTATTTTTGCTTTAGTGGAAAAGTGGGTATTTTTATAAATGCCTTTTCAAACTACCATATAATTTATAATGCATAAGAAATGCCTTCAGTGCCCCACAAATTGCACCCAACCCCCTGAAAATACTTCTAATAATAGACTATTAATCTCTGTTATTGCCCTTCATGAATATAGCAGATAGAATTTAACCTATCAAGAAAAATTGGAAGGAATTATTAGCCAAATATTTATTTAAATAGCACTTTTCTGCTTCACCTTGTGACCAATGGTAGCATTGTTATAACCCTTTTCAATAAAAAACCTTTTACTGTACCAGCCTATGATTATCAAATAGTCTCTGCTCAATTAACTCTATAAAATTTGAGTTTGCAATGATAATAAGAGAAAATGTTGCTCTAAATTTCTTTACTTTGGAAATTCAGGCAGTCTTTCAAATCATTCATATATATATATATATATATATATATATATATATATATATATGCCAGATTATTATGCATTTAGATATAATAATAAATAAATAATCTGGCTATTCAGTGTATACACCACAGCTTCTTTGTCCAGTCATCCATCCAAAGACACTTAGGTTGCTTTTCTCACTCTTGTCAGTGCACAGATCTAATCAGGACCTGAATACATGATTCATCTATTCATATGCATACAAGACCTTGTAAACAACAAAACCCCTAATTATTAATTTACAACGAGGATTATAATTGTCATGCAGGTCATACATTATATTTGTCATACAGGATTAGAATTGTCAATGTGAATTACTCATGTTGTCCTGTTCAATACATTCTCTCCTTGCAATGAAGTCACACAGGAAACAAATCTACATCAGCAAATACTATTTTATTCACCCCCTACAAAAGAGTCTGTTATTAAGAGTCCCTATATTCAGCATCTTGTCTCTTCAGTCGGTAGCCAAACATTGGAAGATAAATTATGTAATAAATCATGAAAGGTTGCCTTCTGAGCTTTGAATCAAACAAAGCGAGTTAGATGATCAAAATATTAAGTGCTATCAGTTCAAGGTAGTTGATACATCCTTGCAAGTATAACTGGAAATGCTCAAACTGTGATGGTTAAGATTCTCTATTTCTTATACATTTTTCAACATATTGGGTCACTGTTGGCCTCTGTGGCTCACCATTTTGTATAGTTTAAACTTGCCTATGTCAGCCAAAACCGGTTTGGCTCAATGGATAGAGGGTTGGCCTGCGGACTGAAAGGTCCTGGGTTCGATTCAGGTCAAGGGCATGTACCTTGGTTGCGGGCACATCCCCAGTAGGGGGTGTGCAAGAGGCAGCTGATCAATGATTCTCTCTCATCCATGTTTCTAACTCTCTATCCCTATCCCTTCAACTCTGTAAAAAATCAATAAAAATATTTAAAAGATAATAAATAAATAAATTTGCCTATGTCTGCTCTTACAGATATGTGTTGATCTCAGATTTGAAGGTCAGAACTTAAAAGGAGTAGGAGGCATCTCATAACTAATGCTACATTACTGCTATATCTCTCTCCTGTTGTCATCAGCATCATCAGTTATTATCTGGTCAGGAAAATAGAAATCACCATAGGTATTTCAAGCAATGGTAATTTAATTCAGAGACTTGGTAATGTGTATTGGAAGAGCTAAAAACCACCAAAGGCTCTAGGTAACACCATTTTTCCTTTTGCTTCTCTAGCCTCGGATATGATTGTCTCTTCTATCCTAGGAATTTTATTTTATTTTATTATTTTATTTTATTTTATTTTATTTTCCAAATATGGAATGCTTCATGAATTTGTAGGTCATCCCTGTGCAGGGGCCATGCTAATTTTCTCTGTATCATCCCAATTTCAGTATATATGCTGCTGAAGTGAGCACAGGACTAGGAATTTTAGAGTGGGATGGGAGGTTATGTTTTTATAGTTGAAAAGCTCTGCTAATTTTTATTTTGGCATATATACCCAGCTAATAAACTACTTTTTAAAAAATACGACTGCCATCTATTAAGGGATAAACTGAAACATCTTCAGTTAAAATCAATTTGAACAATAGCATTGATTTACAAAGGCACTGGACATCGTTTAGCAGCTAAATTGAGAGATAAAGATTTCATCATATAATATTAGTTAGTATAAGGATGCTTTATCAAATAAAAGAAAAAAAAGTTGCATAATCTTTAGTCTCCATTCCTTCATTTCATTAAGGTCGTTCATTGGAAATTGGTCATTTTTTAATGGATAGCAAGGCTCAGCAGCTGAGCAATAGGCTTGAAAATTCTGGTATGATAGCTTTGAGGTTTAATTTTGGCTAAATGCTTAACTGGGTGACTCTATAAAAGTTATTATAAATGGTGACATAAAGCTAGATGGAACGATTTCCCCCTTATGTCTATACTTATTTCTGCCTTGTCAATCCTCCTACTTGTAAATATCCTGAACAAAATTAGAAAGTGTCTGAGGATACAATTTGGTTTCTGAGATCCCTCATTCATTTATAAATGACTGTACATTAGACCAAATAAGTCTAACAGATTTGGAGTTTTGTGTTAAGTTGTTTATTGATAGCTGAATAAATGTTGATGCAAGTTTTGTTAAAGGCATAAATTGGATCCCTTGTTGCATAGCAATGTCAAGGTTTAGCTATGCCTTATCACAGGGATTGTAAACTCAAATGCCTAAACGAGTAAAACAGGTAAATAGAATCAATGAAGCTTTTGGCACAGTCTTGTATTTTCATATATATGTGCAGATCTATAAATAATTAAAGAAACCCAAAATGTATATGTAAAATCTCATGACTTTTAAATGTTGACAAAAAGTTTAAAGTATTTTTAAAATTACAATGGAATAAGCAAAATATATTGGGTGGTTTGGATTTGGCCCAAAGGACCCAACTTTCAAATTGTTGGTAATGTAGATGGAATAGGATGCAGGGTATAAACTGATGGCTCATGTATCCAACTGACCTTGCTCAGGAACCATTGTTTTGAGCTGACAACAGCCTCTTGCATTGCATTAAATAAACACCCACTATGTATATGTAATATCAGGTATTATGCTGTTTCACATGCATTACCTTGTTTAAAACATGATTCTTACTAGTTAGTTAATTTTCAAAGTATTATTTATTTTTAAGCTTTATTGGGAATTGATAACATTGTGGACGTTTAAGGTGTACAATGTGTTAATTTGATACATTTCTATATTACAGAAATGATTGCCACCACAGCATTAGGTAACAGCTCCATCAAGTCACATTGTTACCATTTGTTTTTGTCGTGAGAACATTTAAGATCTCCTCTCTCAGCATCTCTTAAGTATGTAATACAGTATTATTATTTGCTATAATCGCCATGCCATACATAAAGTCCCCAGAACTTCTTACTCTTATAACTAGAAATTTGTACCCTTGGACCAATATCTTCCCATTTCCCCCAGCTCCACATCCCTTGGTATCTATCACTCTACTCTCTGTTTCTCAGAGTTAGGCTTTTTTAGAGTCCACATGTAAGTGATATCATACAGTATTTTTCTGTTTCTGTCTTACTGTTAGTTATTATTATCCAATTTTAAACATTAATAAGTACCAGAAAAGGATTCAAATTGGATCTGACTGATTCCAAAGCTTATCTCATAATGATTCTACCATACAAACTTTTTAGGAACCCCAGGGTTATAATATATACACAATTTACAGACCAGGCTAATGGTATCCTGAGATGGCTGAAAGGAAGATAAATGGTGAAAATATTGTTGTAAGGCTCATGGAAAGAATGTAAGCCAATGAATGATTCCAACATTTTTTTTTTCTATGCTATATCTTTCTACCCTCCTAACTTTATCAGAGACCGAGAGACCCTATCAGTTACCAACCCATCTCCTATTTTGCACTTCTTTTTTTCTACTCCCCATCAACTTTTAATGCTTACTCTTTCTTCTTTAATGAATAATACAAATAATAGCAACTCCTTTGTCTCAATATCCTCTTCTAGCTACTTCTCTATATCCTGACTTCCATAGCCAAACTTATAGAATGAGTTGTTTGTGCTCTTTATTGTCATTTCTTCACATTATTTAATCCGTTTATTTGACTTTTATCCCCAACATTTCTCCAAAATTACTCATTCTAAGTTCACTAATGATATACATATCACTATATACAGGCTAGTTGTTCCAGTCTTGGCTTCTAAACATTTGATGGTATTGAAAACACTGTACTTCTGAAAGAATTATTTTATTTTGGCTGCTATTGCCTAACTTCCTTTTACCTCTTTATCTTTACTTCTTACTGCTCTTTGAAAGTTTACCCTCTTCTATTGTATTAGACTGAGCTCTTAATTGGTAAATTTACTCAAGACTCTATGTTAAACCCTGGCCAGTGTGTCTCAGTTGGTTTCGCACCATCCCATGCACCAAAAGTTTGATTTGAGGTCAAGGTACCAGTGTGATTCGAGGTCAAGGCACATGCCTGGGATTGCAATCTAGATCCACAGGAAGCGACATGCAAGAGGAAGCCACCAGTGTTTCTTTCTCACATCAATATTTCTCTCTCTTTCTCCCTCTTTTCCTCTCTTTCTCTAAAATCAATGAAAATATATTTTATAAAAAGACTCTTGGCTAGTATGTTAAGGCCTGTTTTCTTCTAGGGTCCCTATTATTCCTCGGCTAGCTTATATGCTCTCATGGCTTTACATGCCATTTATATTTTGATGTATCTCAATTATATGCCGCAAACTTATAAATCTTCCGTGATTAATACAGGTAACTACTTAACATTCTTGCTTGGATAATTAATGTGTATCTCAAATAGACATCAACAAAATTTAACTGTTCTTGTCCTTATCTTATCTCCCCTCCCCCCTAAATATTGCCCAACTTTGGAAATGACACCACTGTTCATCTAGTTTGCTTAAAACAGAAATCTAAAAGTCATTGTTGTTTTTGCCAAAAAAATAAAAATACTTTTGGGGAAACATACAAAATATTACCAAAAATAAAAATCAAACACACAGGCAAATATATATCAGGCAAATGCAAAGAATAACAGTATATGAGTAGTATTAAGAGCAAAAGGAATTAAGTTTGATAAAGATTAAAAACTAATATTGGCCAACATATATTGATTGCTCGCCTTTTGCCAGGCTCTTAAAAAGCATTATTGATATCATCTTCTATTGTCATACCCCTTATAGCAAATTAGTCCATCAAGTGCTGTAGATCCTATTTCAAAATAATTTTTAATATTTTCCAATTATCTTAATCTACAACAGTCTAATCTAAGCCACTATCATCACTCATCTACTGCAACAGACCTGAATTAGTATTCCTATGTCCATATGCTTTTTTGGTATTGCCTATGTCACATAGGTCTTTAAAGTGAAATATGTTCAAGTTCATAAGATCACAGATGTCTTCATGTCTCCTACATAAAGATGAGTAAAAATGGTGGCATTAGACTAGACACTTGCACCAATTAAACGTCTTGCCTAATCTTTGTCTTCATTAAAAAATGAAGGTGTGAGGCAATAAAGAAGACACAAGAGCACTAAGTCACCCGGCAGGGGAAGTCAAGCAGTATGTTTGTGCAGCTCTGCATTGAGGGCAAGGACCTCAAAGTATCACTCTGTCAAACCTCCACTATCTTGTGTTGGAAATCTTCTAGGGAGAAAAGCAATAGAGATAATAGAGTTAAGCTACTGAAACTTTAATCCCTAGGAATTTGGGAGGCTATGTCTCAGCAGGTAATGGGATACAAGTTCGAGAGTGATAGAGGAACATGACATAGTCCACAGGGAGAGGGGGGAGCATAATGGTGAAAACCTGTGACACTGATTAGGAAAAATAATTTCCTTAGAGTAACTGCCTATATTGGAATTTGTGATTCAATGGTATATGCATTTACAAGGCTTTTGTAATGTTACTAATTTCTATCCAAAATGGTTGCAACTTATACCCTCACCAGTAGTGTATGGTAGTATCCATTTGACTTACAACACTTTATTTTTTTTTTATTTTTTTAAAATATATTTTATTGATTTTGTACAGAGAGGAAGGGAGAGAGATAGAGAGTTAGAAACATCGATGAGAGAGAGTCATCGATCAGTTGCCTCTTGCACACCCCCCACTGGGGATTTGCCCGCAACCAAGGTACATGCCCTTGACCGGAATCGAACCCGGGTCCCGTCAGTCCCCAAGCCGACGCTCTATCCATTGAGCTAAACCGGACACCGGAGTGACTTACAACACTTTAGTTGAGCAATTGAGTAAAAAGAAATGCTTGCCTTTTGCTCATAGCTATGGCTACACTGACTCTACCCTTTTATCTCCTGTTATTCTAAAATATATTGTTCGCATTTTTTGTTTAGTTCTATTCTTAAAGTCATATTTGGGTAAAGGAATGGACAAATGAAACACTATCATTTTTCAAATGCTTGCAGTATACCATGTACTGATCTGAGGTAATTTATAAATATTAATTTTATTTTTAATTCTCAAAAAGAGTCAGGGAAAACAGATTTATTTATCCACAATCTCATAAGAACTGGCAAAACAAAGATATCAACCTAAGTAATCATGCTCAAAATTCTGTGCTATAAAGCACTATGCTATACTACTACCAGGTTATTCCTTTGAATTATCACAAGTATAATTTTTGGCTCAATTGACAACTTCATCTATATTAAAATATTTTATTACTAGAGGCCCAGTGCACAAAATTTGTGCATGGGTAGTGTCCCTAGGCCTGGCCAGCGATCAGGGCCAATCAGGGCCTTCTGGATGCTAGCCAGGGCCTTTTAGATCCAATTCCACTGGGATCAGGCCGAAAGTGGCAGTCGGACACCCCTCTCATAATCCAGGACTGCTGGCTCACAACTGCTC